TGGTTAGAAGTCATCGGTAGGGAGCCCTGCTAGACCTAGGTTTTGTGATTGTTAGCATTCGTCACCAAGGCGCATCTGAAACCTTGAGGAAACTGATGTTCCCTAAGACATTTTAACCTAAACTACCCAATGCTGTTGTCAAAGACGTTACCAATGAATTTTTCAGGCGACTAACGGCCTCCAGTAGAAGTGAATTAGATATATTTATCATTCACTAGAAGTAATCAATTTATATTATCTAGTCCTGAGTGCTGGCAGTTTGGAGAGTCCACTCCCATTCCATCTGCTTTCGCAAATTCCAAGCACTTCAGTGGGATACCTCCTCATCCCGTTTGCAGTCTGGGCTGCCTTGCTGGGTTCAGTTATGGTGCGGACATTCCATGCCCCTACGTTTACTTTCGCTTTCATCGAGAGGAGACACATCGGCCACATGCCAAGTAATTCACAATGGGAAGCTCAGTGATGCTTTTGAAGTGAAAATAGGAGTGAAACAAGGCTGTCTACTATCACCCATCATATTCCTGATTGTGGTCGACTGGATCATGCAACAAACAGTGGGGAGTGAGAAGAGGGGATACGCTGGACCACCGAAAAGAACCTAGATCTGGATTTCGCCAACTATGACTTGTGTCTGATGTCACACAAACTTGAAGATCTACAGGCGAAAACTAACAAGTTGATAGAAGAGGCAGCGAAGACGGGGCTTCAAGTGAATGTAGAGAAGACAGAGGTGATGAAGATACCCAACCAACAACTCCAACAACAACAACAACAAACTCCAATCACCATGATGGGGAGAAACTTAAAGGAAGTAGCCTCCTTCACCAAACTGAGCAGCACTGTTTCAACTACAGGCGGCGCAGACGAGGATGTCAAAATCAGGATCAGAAAATCAAGATAGGCTTTCATTAGCCTGAAACCAGTGTGAAGATCTACTGCACTGCACTCGACACAAAGAACAAGATCCAGATTTTCAACACCAACGTCAAGTCAGTGCTGCTATATGGTTCAGAAACTTGGCGTGTCACGAAAGCACTTCCAACAAACTACAGACATTCATCAACAGCTGCCACCTACGCTTGATACTGAAGATCAGATGACCAGAAAGAATAAGCAACTCTGGGAACGAACCAACCAAGAACCTATCGGCTAAAAAATATCCAGAAGAAAGTGGAGATGGATTGGGCATACATTGAGAAGGCAACTGGGGACATCACGTGCAAGGCCAGTCTCCGAGTGGAACCCAAACGAGAAACGACTAGTTGGGCGTCCGAGGGTGATATGGAGGAGATCGTGTGAGGGAAGAAATAAAAGCTTGTGAGTAGTCGATGGACTAGGTTGAAAAGACTGCAGAGAACAGAGTGCAATGGAGGTGTGCTACTGAAGCACTATGTTTCACTAGGAACCCAAGGGAAAAATAATAACAATAATAATAATAGTATTTTACTGCAACAGTACATAAAGAGGAATTGACGAAAAATAAAACTATATTCGAGAAGACGAAACTGTAATGTTGAATCAGGAGTAAATAAATAAAGACGGATCGAATATTCAAAATTTCGGATGGGAATAAAGTGAATAAACATCAGTCATCGTGACTGATTTTTAGCCATATCACCAAGAGTCCCCAACTGTTGTGTCTTAACATCTCAAGGCTTTTAGTGATGGAGTCTACACCTCCCTACACTTCTCAGACCAACAATTAACAATATAATGGATAAGTGTTAGAGATACAGATTTAGTTTAAATCCAAAAGACATTGATCAGTAAATGGGACTTTTTTCCTAACTTTTCCTTATAGGCATGCAGTTATATGAACTAAATACTGATGAATTCACCTAGCCTGGTGACGAAACATCCAAAGACAGACTTCGAAGCTCAGAGAACGCCACATAGTTATTATTCTCATTTCTGAGCTACAAATCTTCTTTGCAGTTATCTTATACCTTCAGGATATAAGAAAAGTGGCAACAATGACCAAAGGTTGATCTCAGTTTGTATCAAAACAATTGAACTATGAATCCAAAAAAGGATAAAAATAGCATAATGTATGTCAGATGGTTAGAAGTCATCGGTAGGGAGCCCTGCTAGACCTAGGTTTTGTGATTGTTAGCATTCGTCACCAAGGCGCATCTGAAACCTTGAGGAAACTGATGTTCCCTAAGACATTTTAACCTAAACTACCCAATGCTGTTGTCAAAGACGTTACCAATGAATTTTTCAGGCGACTAACGGCCTCCAGTAGAAGTGAATTAGATATATTTATCATTCACTAGAAGTAATCAATTTATATTATCTAGTCCTGAGTGCTGGCAGTTTGGAGAGTCCACTCCCATTCCATCTGCTTTCGCAAATTCCAAGCACTTCAGTGGGATACCTCCTCATCCCGTTTGCAGTCTGGGCTGCCTTGCTGGGTTCAGTTATGGTGCGGACATTCCATGCCCCTACGTTTACTTTCGCTTTCATCGAGAGGAGACACATCGGCCACATGCCAAGTAATTCACAATGGGAAGCTCAGTGATGCTTTTGAAGTGAAAATAGGAGTGAAACAAGGCTGTCTACTATCACCCATCATATTCCTGATTGTGGTCGACTGGATCATGCAACAAACAGTGGGGAGTGAGAAGAGGGGGATACGCTGGACCACCGAAAAGAACCTAGATCTGGATTTCGCCAACTATGACTTGTGTCTGATGTCACACAAACTTGAAGATCTACAGGCGAAAACTAACAAGTTGATAGAAGAGGCAGCGAAGACGGGGCTTCAAGTGAATGTAGAGAAGACAGAGTGATGAAGATACCCAACCAACAACTCCAACAACAACAACAACAAACTCCAATCACCATGATGGGGAGAAACTTAAAGGAAGTAGCCTCCTTCACCAAACTGAGCAGCACTGTTTCAACTACAGGCGGCGCAGACGAGGATGTCAAAGTCAGAATCGGAAAATCAAGATAGGCTTTCATTAGCCTGAAACCAGTGTGAAGATCTTCTGCACTGCACTCAACATATGGAACAACATCCGATTTTCAACACCACGTCAAGTCAGTGCTTCTATGTGATGTTTGAGAGACTTGGCGCGTGACGAAAGGCATTTCCAACAAACTACAGACATTCATCAACAACTGTCTACGCTGGCTCGTTACTGAAGATGGAGATCAGATAGCCAGAATGATAAGAATAAGCAACAAGGGACTCTGGGAACGAACCAACCAAGAACCTATCACCCAACAATATGCACTGGAAGGAAGTGGAGATGGATTGGGCATACACTGAGAAGGCCGACTGGGGACATCACGCGCCAGAGCCTGGCCCTCGAGTGGAACCCAGATGGGAAGCGACGAGTTGGGCATACGAGGGTGACATGAAGGAGATCGTGTGAGAAGGAAATGAGAGCTTGTGGGCTGTCGTGGAGCCAGGTTCAAAAGTTTTCAGAGAACAGAGCTCATTGGAGACGTGCTTGTGAAGCCCTATGTCCCATAAAAGGAACACAAGGGACAAATAATAATGATAAGTCCTGAGTGCTGACTGAATTTCACAGATCATTTTGCAATGTGGTCACCAAGCTAGGAGATACAGCAACACAGTGCACTTTGACTGACGTCAGATGGTTGGAGATGTGCTTAATGGATTCCATGGCTAGCTCCCACCAAGCAACTCTATCCATCGTTAAAACAAGAATCGACAGAGAAGACGACAGTTTAGATACTGGTATTGACAGGAGAATAACACACTTTAACAGATACCTGGGTTTCACATCATCTCGCCTTATACCTACCTATCAAGGTAGGCTTGCTAGAACGTTTTGTTAACCAAGCTATGAGTCTGACTAGTAAATTTTTAAATGTTAAATAAGGAGCTAAGACAAAGTGAAGGGGCATTACTGCTTTAAAACCAACCTCTGGAGTTTATTAAAAAGTCTTTAAAAACCTATCAGAGAGCGATAGTATTAGTGGTAACTGGAACATGCTTAATAGGAATTCGAATCTTCTGCAGAATGATGAAAGGAATCGGGAATTCTAAGTTAGATTGTAAACAATGCTGGGATTATGACGGCATTCAAGCCCACTAGTCCACATAGAGAAGAAATTTGTAGGCTAAAAGATCAAGTAGATCCTTCAATTAAGCAAAATAATCTGACCTATCAAATACCATGAAATGATTGTGAGGTCAAATGTATGGGTTAAATTAGCCAATCGGGGTTAGTCGGGATAGGGGAGCATAATCGTTTAGTTAAAAATAAAATATAAAATAAAATGAAATAAAAAGTAAAAAAAAATAAAATGATAGACCCTACTAAGATAGAAAATCTAAGGAAGAACTCAAGTATCGCTTTGGTGACACCAACTCATAATCACACTAATGGATAGGTCAGGGTAGTAATTCAAAACTTCAATATAACAACTGGTTGGTGGGAGAGAGTCTCATGGAGAAGGGATGATTCATCATCATCATTGCAGATATCTGAAACATTTTACTACCGTTAAACTGAAAGGATGAAGAACTGTTGAACTATATGAGCGAAGTTTGAAAGTCGAACAATTTCTTCGATATGAGTATGAAGAATAAATTCTGTTCGGAATGTCATCCAGTAACTAATACTGGGTCACTGAGTGCTGTTTGAAATGAAAAATCGAATAATAATGGTGATAATAATAATAATAATAATAATAATAATAATAATAATAATAATAATAATAATAACTCTACACCAAACGTATGCATTTCATCACAGTTTGTCAGTTAAATTTGTAATCTATTGACAAAGAATAGTGACACTTGTGTACACAGACGCTTGTAGTCAATAGGCAGAAAGCTATGGGTCTGTATTTCCAATGCTTTTTGGCATATCTACGTTCTTGAAGTGACTCAAAGAGATGTACACTTTGAAGCCACACCCGCGTGCACAGGTTTAGTGGTAGCCAATAAATCCCTGCTACTATATGTAAGATGGCAGTTTGTCCTCGTTAACAATTTTACTTTTTTCCCCTATATGCAGATGGGATGATAAGACTATGCAAGTGACTGATTCTATACTTGGGGAAATGCTATCAGTTATGCCAGTGTTGCACATGAAACCTGAAATGGATTATACACCAGACCCAAGTCACTACATAGCACCAATATATAAGACGTCAGCAAGAGCTGGTGTGCTGTCAACACTGGTAAGTGTCTGATTTATACATATTTTGTGTGTTAAGGTTGGTTTCTGCACGAATAATTATCGATATTGGGCTTTCCTTATTGTACAAAGGTTATATGGATCATTGTTAGACTGATAAATAAGGAAAGTTATAGGCTCCTCAACCAGAGACTTTCAAACAACTGGTTTACTTTCAGATTTTCTTCTTCGCCGTTATTATCATTCATCAGGCATTCATTCATGTATAAAGTGTCTTCCAGTTATATAAGTCATATTATCACTTTCCGTCCAGACAAAGAATTCTTCATCACGTGGTTTGGTGGACTGGTATTATTGATACGGATGATGATTGGAGTTAAGGTAGAGACCAGGATCGTGGGAAGCTTCAGACCTGTTGCTTTCTGTCTTACTGTCTCGGTACTCTACCAACTAGCTTTACCTTCAATTATCATCGCGTAACAAAGAATCCGAACTCTAAAAAAAGACAACAGAAATCAACTCAGTTGAGTAGTTCTTCAGTATTCAGTTGATTACAAAAACAGTTTTATCGTGGATTAGTATCAGCTGATGAACTGCTGAAAATTGGGAAGCATTGGACAGCTGCTGAGGAGTCTGAAAATGGGACGAAACCCATACACAGTGGTTCTTCTCTTTAAGTACATTAGCTGACTCGATTTTCAGTCATTGAGAATGGAAATAGTAAGCAAGTACACTAATCAAGAATAATTCTGGCGTCTATATCGTTGTGTGGTGGACTTCCATAAATACGCAGTGATCCAGTAGTTAGGAAGTACACTCATATGAATGACGCAATTGTGAGTCCCATTATGGTTTTAAGAAATTCAGATTTGATTTCAATTACTTCTTTAAATAAAGATATGTGCTGAAGGATTTGTTTGGTAGGTACGCATGTAAATAGTTTGATGTATGACGGTCAGTTGTGTGAACCATGGTTTATGCAGATTTATGTTCACTCTAGTGTCCTGTATGTGGTGAGGGACCTTTATTACCTTATTTCAGTGGCACTGTGTCTTCTGAGCTTGATAATTCAATCGCGAAATTGTCATTTTCACTGACACTATTAACACGGCTTTGCTTCAGAAAGTAACAGACCCATACGATTTATCCGCAAGCAGTTAAGTGTCCCATCATTATAACTCGTGATAATGGGTTGTTCAAGTTTGTTTATAGACTTACATTCTTTTGGTTTGTTTCAACAACTTCATCTTTAGTTATGCGGTATTTTCATTGTTAGTATAAGAGCACAGCTGGACTCCTAACATGATCTCATCTACTGGTACCTTTGTTGTGTAAGCTGCTTACGATAATTATTGAGTTCATTTCTAACTACTTCCAGAACCATACCGATCGGCATATTAGTATACAAACTGGCCATATTTTCATTGTCGTCTAGATGCATATCTAATTTATGCTTCAAGTCATGAGAGTTAGTAGGTCTCGATTTCGAACGGTTTCTAAATGGGCCTAGTAATATTACTAAATATTTAGATAAGTTATAAGTAGGAGTGTTTCTAAAATCTACTATGGGTCTTATAGGATAACCTGGCTTGTGAATTTTAGTGGTACTTTAAATCTTACTGGGATTATCAGTTTTCAGCATTAAATTAAACCATTTCGACTCACCTAGAAACGGCTTTATTCGGCATATTACATCCACTGGCTTTTTAAAACCTTATTCATAATAGTGTCTATTGCTTTTTAGTTTCCTGTTGCGGTCGTGTCTTTACATGTTTGCTGACTTTCTCATTGACCGATAAATTTAGTGCATGATGTTCACCTATTGACTTTAGGACAGAACTGTATATCTCCTAAAATGTTACTTAATTTTAGCCTAGCTGTACACGAAGTTTGCGTAAATCTGAGGTAATTATAGTTTAAAAACCTATCTCAGAAAATTCAGTGTTAACAGACAAAAATTATATCACGCAGTACGGAACCTACTGAATAGAATGTAGGGTAGCCAATGAAGTTTAACTGGCACTACAAAAATCACCTTAATTAACGCCAACACGTCACCATTGACTTGAACTCACTGTGGTGTCCGTTTTCATTGATAAATTACAGAGACTGGTAAATTGAAAATTATACTTAAAAAAATTACACTGATCAGGTGCATACAAGAAATTTGCTGTTTTAAAAATCTATACATTCATTCATCAATATCATGTTGTAACGATATTCCACTTTAGGTCATTCAACAAATTTCATTGTAAAAATTGACTTGCCTCGTTCAATGACATCAGGTTATTGGATTGAGAAAGGTACTGCTCTGTTATCCATGAGTAATGACTAATGTAAAAAACTACAACTTTTCTTGTATTATTTTGGAAAAACATGAAAAAGTAGTCGAAAGTTAAACACTTTTAGTTATAAAAGTTTTTTTTTTTTCAGTTTTCTTTCACTTTCCAACTAATTTTGTGTCAATATTTAAAAAATTTAATACGGTATAAATTCGTTTTATGTTCACAGAATAAAGGATATGGATTTCCAGGTTGAGTGAACAGGTTTCCCACCTACATAGTATTCATTGACACAATGTGGTTCAATTCTTTTGGGAATTCATGATCCCTTGAAAGCCTAGAACGACATCATTTCAGCAAATTCAGTTTGCAGTTTAATCAATGACCTATTTGAAGATAAATGTATTCCTTGTGGAATTAAAACAATATATGACATTGACTATACATCATGCGTAGTCATTCGTTTCAGTAGACAATTCAAATTGGATGCATGTGATCTGTTTTTAGTCGAATTCCAGATTAATTCAGTTTTATGGTTAGTTCCTAAAAACTACATGTTTCGCACACGATCTAAACGAATGCTTAAAAAGAAGAAACTCCCAAACCACTGATGAATTTCTTTAGAACTCCTGTGTTTAAGTTTAAAACGATGGCACGATAATATCACGCAGAAGGAATCATTGTGGTAAGGATTAAACAATCCAAATACAGGTTCTCTTTTTCATCCCAACCTCCCGAAATCAATTACGTGTAATGAATGTAGAAAATAAACGTTAAACTTCGCACAGAAGTGTATAGCTCCAAGTTGCCACACTTCATAGTAGCATGGAAAAAACAAGTCAATACAAAAGAGTGACATCAAATTACAAATGAGTGCATGACGTCACGTGGAAATTGAATGTTAAGCTTAGTAAAAATGCTCAAACCTTCGTAGAAGTGACTGACTGAGTGAGCGAGTGTGTGCCTGCATCTGCACCACTGTCGCCAATTAGCAGGCATGTCACACAGTCCCCAACCGTTGATTTATATTTCATCTCGAAGACTAAAACCGGCCAGTGTACATGCCTGTACATGTCTCATACCACCAGTTAAACACTTCACCACCTCTAACCCTCCTCCAATCTCAACCTACTTCAGCCGACATTGTGTGTGATCAGGTACACGGTAAACAGGCTTGCGTAACACATGTTCCAGTCATCTCAGTCCATCAAGCCTCACATCATCAACTGGCTTTCCTCCTATGCCAAAATCTCTACACCTCATTTCCACGTCACTCACGTCAAGACACTACGACACACCGCCTGCCAATGCTACAAACACGACAATGATCGTTACACCTGACGCCTTCTCATGTCCTTTACCTTCTTCTAATCGCTATCATTCATAGCCCGATGGAACCCAATGAACAGTTGTGCAGTACACTCAGTACCTCATATGCGATCGGATAAAACATCAGATCTACAAATGCCGAATGTTAACGGTATTTGGCAAAGGTGAAGAGAAGACCGCTTCTCCCACCCCTTTTCACATTCATTAAGTCGCTGACCCACCACGGCTCATCCAGTTTGTTCAGCAACCAAGCGCAAATCAAACAGTCATCACGGAACGGAAAATTGATTGTCAATAAGGTGGTGAGCTTGGTTATTGTGATGTGTATCACATCTCATCTTGTCGCATCTCGTTACATTCAATCTGATCCCTTCTCATCTCGTCTCAGCTCATCATCTGGAAAGCTATATGTAGCTAACCTCATCACACATGACGACAACTGGCTGGAATGCATCATACTTCATTACAATTACATCTGATGGCAAGACAGATAGAGAGACAAATCAACGTAGAGAAGTGCATCACTTCAAGTTGCTACACTTCACAGAAGCAGCATACAAAAACGTTACTAGAAAAATAATCATGCTGAATTATGTAAAAGCGTATGAGAGGAGAGAGGGTAAAGAAAATACTGAGAACTTTCCAGATGATGAAGACAACTGGGCCACGGTGGCTGGTTTTGAGCGATGCGATCAAGAATTTTCGAAAACCAACTCCTATCGCCGACAGGACGTGAGTTATTTAGCCTACATAATTCACACCGACGATCAGGAACTTCATGGACTGATGCCACTAATCGATATTGCCACCCTTAGTCTTTTTGTGATCTAATCCTAATTCAACTAGCATTGAGAGTAGATTTGAGGGGAGTGCAGATATATTTCTCAATGTACTAGTGATGGATAATGACTAGCAGTGGAATCCAGGACGCGCGTTTCATTCTGTTTAGGACTCGTCAGTTGGATCTACCTGCATCCCAGTAAGCGACAACATTGGCATTTGTTAGTTGGTTGGAGGCAGTCGGCAGGAAACCCTGGACCTAGGTTTCGTGCTTTTTGGCACTCGTCAGCAAGGAGCATCTGCAACCTGGACGGAACTGATGTCACGCCTGGGATTCGAACCCGCGTCACCCAGTGTTGCAGTCAGCGACTTTACCACTGAGCTATTCGGGCTGCGATTGACCTCCTATAGGACTGGCTTACATGTATTGATTAGTCACGGGAGTACAACCAATTTTATGCTGTCTAGTCCTGAGTGCAGACCGAATTCTATCGATCACAACACTGGGTGACGCGGGTTCGAATCTCAGGCGGGACATCAGTTCCGTCCAGGTTGCAGATACGCCTTGGTGACGAGTGCCAAAAAGCACGAAACCTAGGTCCAGGGCTTCCTTTAAATTGCCTCCAACCAACTAATATCTGCTAATGTGCACCGCAATGCTGAGCTTCCTAGCTTGGTTGCCACATTGCAAATATGATCGATAGAATTCGGTCTGTACTCAGGACTAGACAACATGAAATTGGTTGCATTGCTGTAACCAATCAAC